TCAGAAATTTTCCCGAAAATTTTTGAAGAGAATTTTGAGGTTTTTGCATAGGTTTTTGACAGTCTCAATAGAAGTTTTGCTGAAATGTTTTTATATTGTTCTCAACTTCCCTTGGATTGCCGACATGGAGTCCCCAAAAATTGCAAAATTGGCTGGGACTCTAGAGAGATTCATAAAGTTACTCTGGATTAGGGAAGGATGTCACAGCAGCTCGGTAGCCATGTGTGGCCTGGAGGGCATCTTTGTAGGTGAATCAAGCAAAAAAAGAAACAACGAAAACTAAACGGCAATTGATATTAAAATGAACAACATTGAATTAGTGGATTTGAATCCCTCAGATACTTGGATTTTGCATAGAAAAGCGTCTAGAAATTAAAAAATCTTAAATAAAAGTAAAATCGTTACAGCATAACAAAAATATTTCTACAGAAGCACTGAGAACCAGTTTCTGTCCTTATTCTCGTTTCTATGTTACCCGGATAATTTTATTTTTTTTACGCTGTGAAAGATGCAACAAGAACTCTTTCCTAGAATATACTACGTAGTAGCGTGACCATTTTCGCTCTACAAAGGGGCAAAAATCTCATTTATTAATACAAAATTAAGTCTGATCTCACTTCAATTACGAATTTACAAAATGTAAACTTCCAATTAATATCATGCGTAGTCTACAGGATTCCGTTATCATCAAAATCCCCTTGCTATTATTTTATTATATTTAAAATGCAAGAAAAATGGAGAAGGCAACAATTAAATAATCGGTAGTTGTTGATCTACTGAGATTGTCGACCTTTATACTTAAGAGTCTATCCTCATAATGCTGTAAAAGTAAACTCGCAAAAATTATTGTAACACATAATTCACACTATGTTATATATCAGCTGGATAAATGGAAAAGTTGGACTTATCAAGTATATTTACAGAAGATTGTACGGATACAAGCAAAAGATTCAAAACGTTAATTATAATTATACAATTCAATTCAACAACATGAAATAAATGCTAGGCTATACTGCAGATATGGTACAAAGATTGAAAGCTATGCACACATGCTTATAATTTTATAGCGCAAGGAATTGATAATAAAAATAAACAATAATTTTACGACGACATTTGAAAGTAATCTACTACAAAAGAAGTAAAGTAAGCCAGCTATTTATCGCGCTCTCGCAGAATTTTTCTCGGAAAAATAACGAGACACATTTGAAAAGATCAATTGAAAGAAAAAGAGAAAAGAGAAACGCCTTTTCATTCTGTTTCTTCTATAGAATCTCCGGCAACAAGTGAAATAAGTCAATAAAAAAAAGGAAAAAAAGTAAACTGCTAACTTTCTCCGTTTTTCTTGGAGAAAACATTGATTTACTTAAGGCACAGTGTTGGATGAAGATTTCACTCAAAAGCAAAGGCATATAGAAAGAATAAATCAATCTGTTATTATCAATGTTTTCTTTCCAGCAGTTGATTTAAGGGAAATTTCAATTCAAAAACAGTATATGAAACGATTGATATTTCGCCGATACTACTCATCTTTTTTTAGGATGAGTGTGGGCGGCTGTCGATGTGTGCTGTGTAGGTCTTCTTTTGCAATATTGACACGCACACCACACGGCCGCATCACGGCCACTCATATCCACACCCACACCCCACCCACCCAACATCATACGAAGCTACAAGATAAAAGAGAAACACTAAATCAGTTTTACTGTGTAATAAAAATACGTCAAAGTTTTTTATACATAGTCTTATCTACCTATGAAAAATATCATTCTTTTCAAAGACATACTATGTTATTGCTCAACTTCAATTCTTTTTCAAACTAAATACTTCGTTTTACATAATCAATGCCCGGTGTACAGCCACACCGCTTCGAGTCTCACTCGACCACTTATGGGTGCTTGGGTTTGGGCTAGAGGTCGCTGAAAAGCGATAGTCGCGGGAAAAGCGAGGACCACCCCATGTATCTATTTGTTGGCCAGAGCTGTGATACGAAGCAGGTGAAGGCTGTGCCCACATTTTTTTCTCTTCAATTTGCCACAATAGCCAATAATTCTAATTTAATTTCAACTAACTTTGATCTTAATGTTTTTGCTGATACAGTTATTCTTCGAAAAAAGAGCATAAATCGTAATCACATTAACGAAATTGTAATTGATGCAATATACATATGTATACTTCCACGTAATACTGTATGCGTATTAATATCAACACTATATGTTACTAAGGTGATTATATAGAGTATAGAAATAATCCCATCGAATAAATTACGCCGTTCCGAGAACTCTACGACACCTCTTATTTTTAAATTTAAGGCATTGTTGTATTTTCAAGAAGTCATCTTGTTGGTTTGCGGTTTTAATGTTTATATAGATAGTTATCTACTTAGGGCATACCATAAATAGTGGCGGAGGTTCATAACAATCTTATAAAAGGCTTTCAGAAAATTTTCTCTTTTTACCTGATGATAGAGTAAAAAAAACCTCTATCATCCTATTCTATTTGATCACTATTTTTATAATATTATAGTGATAAAAATCTCAAAAAGCATGTTTTGCTGTGGTATTTCGTCAAAATTTTAGCACATATCGTTTTAAATATGTGCTTTTGCATTGATTTTTTTTTGTTCTTCTGCTATCTTTTCTTTATTCTTTATTTCTTATCTATTTTAATGCATAGCCGTTTGTATATACACATATTAAGACATAAGTTTCGTTTGTAGGACGCAATTATATTCTATTATTCATAGCTTTCAAATGAGTTAAGTGAAATTGCTTAAATACGTAGCACTATTCACTCTGTGTCAGATAAGTAAGGAAAACTTCCGCTTTTACATTAAAGTTCGCACTTTACTCAATATTGAAGCTAGAATTATTTATGAAGAACTAGCTCCTGTTTTTGGTGATGAAGTGCCTTCTCTTAGAACGGTTGAAAGGTGGTCTAAATGGTCTCGTGAAGGTCTGGAAGATGTGGAAAATCAAGCACGACCTGGTAGACCCATTACTGAAGCTAAAGATGAAAATATAGAGCATGTTCGGGGTCTCATTAGTGATAATCCTCATATTACAGTAGAAGAGATACAAGTGCAAAGCAATTTAAGTCATGGTACCGTTCAGAGAATCATTTCTGACCATCTGAACCTTAAAAAAATGACTGCTCGCTATATACCGAAAAATCTGACCGCTACTCAACGAGCAGGAAGAGTCCGGATTTGCAAAGAAAATTTAGAAAAGTTTGAACAAGATACATGGCGTTTATACGATGTGGTGACAGGAGATGAATCATGGTTTTTTCATCAACAAACCAGTCGAAAAGCGTCCAATGCTGCATGGGTGGCGAAAGATGATCCTCCACCCACGGTAGTACGACAAAATTACTATGCTCCAAAAAAATGAATGTGCATCTTTTTCAAGTCGACCGATTCCGTCTTAATCCATCGTGTTGAATTTGGACAAACGATTCACCATGAATACTATATCAAAAATTGTCTAAAACCCGTTATTGATGAAATCAAAAGGCAATGACCTTTATCTGGCAAACAATCAATTAAAATTCATCATGACATTAGCAAACCGCTCGTCCACAAAGCTGTACTAGACTATCTACGATCAGAAGTTGTGATAACAATGCCACATCCACCAAATTCAGCAGATTTGGCACCATGCGATTTTTGGTTATTCGATCTTATCAAACGAAATAAAGATGATCAAAATGATACCGAATCATTGTGCACTGCAGTAACAGAATGCATGAATTGTTTGAATGCACACGAATATAAAAATACGTTTGATAAATGGATTCAGCGAATGCGCCTCTGTGTCGACAACGAAGGAGATTATTTCGAACATTTGATGAGATGAAAACTGACTTTACTGCTTCCTATTTTTTTCTGCTCTATCATCCAGTTATTTTGTATCGTTATACACAGAGGGTTACGTATTAAAATGGATAAGAATCAAGAATAAAGAAAAGATAGCAGGAGAACAAAAAAAATCAATGCAAAAGCACATATTTAAAACGATATGTGCTAAAATTTTGGGAAAATACCGCAGCAAAACATGCTCTTTGAGATTTTGGGGTGTGTGGGTGTGGGTGTGTTTATAAAAGTAATTCCAAGCTACTTACGACCGGTTTCGTCCTTGCTTAAGGGACTCATCAGGTAAATTTGGAATTAAAAGGTACTGCATAGAAATAAATAAGATCTCAAAGCAATAGAAAACTATATAAGTAAGGGATTAAAAATCCAAGACTTTCAACAGCAATCTAATGTTGAGATTAAATTTAATTATTTTCGCAGTATTTTTTGGAAATGGGTGTGTTTATAAAAGTAATTCCAAGCTACTTACGACCGGTTTCGTCCTTGCTTAAGGGACTCATCAGGTAAATTTGGAATATATTTTCACTGCATAGAATTGAATTAAATTTTAGATCAGGAGAAAGTTATAAAGTCAACAGCAAGGGAGTGTCTCATTCACAAGAATGTGTGAATTTTATCATTTTTTGAAAGTTGAATAACTTTTGGTGAATATGTAGTTTTAATGTCTTGAGAAGGAAGAATTGCCGATTTTTGATCTAGATATGAGTGGTACTGATATGTTATATGCAAAAGAAAGAAATATGGGGTTGATATACCTTGTGTATTTTTTGTTGAGAACGATATTGACGAACGTAATATGGAGGTTCTTGTTCTTCTTGCATGTAATATTTGCGACGTGATGACGGTTATTGTTCAGATGACATAATGGAATGATAAAGCTACAAACGTCATGAAAAATTATTGAAATATGCAGTGGATTGTATGACGCTCTGCTTATTCTGTGGTTTACGTTTTTTTCTATGAAAATCGAGGATTCAGATGCAAGTGGTATTGGTTTATCGACAACAAATAATGATATCTGAAAAGAAATCAGAAATTAATGCTCATAGGCAGTAACAAAAGTCTTGGTTTTTTATTGAATGCTATGTTGGACATCGTCGCAATGTATTTTATTATATATATACATATATCAATTAGGAAATGTTGTCTCATGAATACTCAATGCCACACTATAATTGAGATTGGGCTCTTCAGCAACAGTCCATCGAAAGGTGAATTGATAGGGAGACTGATGATTTGGACTGGTCAACAAACGACGAATAATTGCATCGATTTGATCAATCATGTTTTCCTCATGAAATGTCGTTTGGTAACGTTGTTGTTCTAATGTTGGTGTTTGTACTTCTGTTACCGACGATGTAAGTGGGTGTACTGTTTGTGATAAACCATTGGCTTCATTAATATTGTCGTCTTGGTTGCCTATTGATGAAGAAGACATCGATAACTGATCCAGTCAAAAGCAGTGAATTGAAATCTAGAACATTTTTTAACTTAAAAATAAATCTTCCCTATGAGTAGTGGAGTAAATATGCAAAAACTTAATAAACACTGAACCAGATACATTCGTAAATATTCATGCTAAATACAGACAATATCAAAATTGAAGTGAATTTTATTTAATAAAAGGTTAAAATTCTACAGTGTTTTCGGTACCATTGCTGAGTAAGCCTTTTCTCATATCGTCNAAACAAAACTCATTTGTAGTAAATCTTTATCTGTATTGTGTTTTTGCTTAAATGAACTTCTAGATGATCTTATGTCCAATAGTCGATGAATATGTAGAAGATTATTGTTACTTGTAAAACAGATGAAAACAGACTATGAAGTATCAATTTCGAGAAAACTTCCGTCATCAAAGTTATACTTTACAAAAAATATAACCGACAATGAAAAGACATATAAAATCTACCAGCTTGATCAAAAATAAATCAAAATATTTATAAGGTAAAAGACAACAATGAGGTCTTAAAGCTAATACGCGATTTTTTTTCTTTTTTGATCAATAGTCGATTGTATTCGATAAGGATTATCGTAGTCACTTCAATTTTTTCTATCATTGTCAGTATCATTATAACTAGATTATATCGCTTGATGGGTGGCATAAGCACTCA